TTTGCTTTCCAGACCCACTTAAAATTGCTTCCATAAGACTACTACTTAAGAAACACAATTCAGACTCTTCTTTCATGGCCAATTACAGATTTTTTATCTGCCCTTTCTTTCCTGGCAAAGTTGAATCTTACACCTTAATGTTTTTTTCCTCACTTAAACATCTATGAAAAAATTCAATCAGGATTTAGATCAGGTCAGGTACAGAAACAGTCTTGGTAAAAGTAATTTATGACCTAACATTGAATACAGGGGAGAGCGAAGTATCACTACTCATCCTTATACTTTTCAGACTTTCTGGAAAGATTTACACGTTGAATTAATAGACAGTATTTCATCACTTTGCCAGTTTTGTATCCAGACAGCAAGGCATTTGCTGTGGTATACCACAAGGGTCTGTCGTTGGGCCACTCCTTTTTACATTTTATATGTTGCCAGGGGTGTCACTAAAGGTTTATGGATCGGGGGGCTAAGCCTGTACTAAGGGAGGGCATGCCCCAGGAGAATTTTTCAATGGCCCCAAATTGTCTGTTCATCATGAACATTTAAAGTAGGAATAACCAGAAAATGTATCAAAAATGGATATTTGGTCAAACTGACACACAGTGGATCTGTCTCTTTGTAATTTGTATTAAGCATAAAGCTAGTTTGACACAGAACAAACAAAATCACGCAATGCTATCTCCTCTCACTCAGACAAGCTACAAAATCCTAAATACATTATTCAAATACAAAGATCATAGATCAGTTCAGCCTCAGTTGGTATAATCAGAAAGAGTGTGATTTTGCTTTGTAGGCATGTTTAATAAACTAGTTGACAGAATTTTATCACCATAACATGACCATAAAATAACATGACCATAAAATAAAGTGACAAAACATTTTCTCAGTTAAGCTCAATTAAATTCAGTTTTAACTGTGCATAACAAACCTCTCCCATCATCAGAAAACTTAAAAAAAGGGAAGTATTGAGATGAGATCAGATTACAAAATGAACTAATCATGCAACCCCTCATGTGGCGCCCTAAGGGGATAGCTTCCACATGTGCAGTGGACCGCCCAGAGTTCGCTGGAAAACCCCAGACCACTGATTTAAAGAGGACCAGAGAACGGTTCTCTGACCAATTCCTGGGCTCGAAAACAGCTTTCACACTTGACCAAACGTACCAAACTCGCAGAGTAAGCAGACCTGGGTGTGAAACGCTCTGGTGTGAAAATGTCCTTAATTTCCATCTACAGGTTGAGGATTTGAGAGATTTACAACTGTGTTATGATCAACACTTGTTATATGACCTTTTCACTGACATTGACTTACAGTAAACAACAACATATGGCAAATACTGGTGCCAATGTTTCCAAATACTGAAGAGAAACATAAACACAAAGAATATAAAGAGCTGTCAACAACGTTATTTCTGTTACTGTCGCTCCTTCACACTCTCATTATATAGTATGCTAAAGTTTCTTAATATTCTTCAACTAGTTGGCATGTCTGCAGCTAGCTAACGTTAGTGCTATCACTTTTTCTTTGCCTCACTTAAGCCCAAAATTAGCTAGCTAGCAACCTAGTAAAACTGGACAGCCAGCTAAACTGACCATAATTTGCCATAAATCCACATTGTAGGAGGCTGTCTTCTCTCTGTAACTACTTACTGTTTGCATATTATAGCTTTTAAATAAGGCCTAATGTTTATTTTAGTGAGCTTTTAGCCAAACTCCTGTCTTCAGCTTAAGATTAAGAGACCCTTATTGGTCTCACAACGGGGAAATTTCACCTCCGCATTTTAACCCATCCATGCAGTGAAACACCACATACACACTAGTGTATCCACATAGATTAGGGGGCAGTAAGCACACTTGCATGGAGCAGTGGGCAGCCCTATTCATGCGCCCAGGGAGCAGTTGGGCTTTAGGTGCCTCAAGGGCACTTCAGTCACGTACTGTCGACTCAGGGATCGAACCGGCGACTTTCTGGTCACAGGGCTGGTTCCCTAACCTCCAGCCCATGACCGCCCCCAAAAATCTTGTCACAGGAGATCGTGAACACAGTCCCCCACTACCAGAAATTATGCAGTCGAGAGTCCCGCATTTGGGGAATTCACAAGGGTCAGCACAACCATAGTGCAATGGCTGAGCCTCGCCCTGGGTGAACCACCTTCGTGATCATGGTATCACCCCTGCCAGGTAAGTATTTTTAGTGGTTTGCCGACTGAGGTTACTTTACTAAGAGAGCAAACCAGAGAACATCCAAAAGGGCTGATATGATTTCCTTACAACCAACAAGGCCTGATATGATTGGCTTACCACTTTCATGGTCTGATATGATTGGCTGAGCCAGGGGTTCCGCTTTTCACGTTACGTTATTAAATAGCACAGCAGACGCAGCACTGCATTGGAGCAGCAGTAGCGCCTCCCCAGGTCTCGCCCTGCTATCACAGTGTATTGTCAATTTGGAGACATGATGGCATGGTTATCAAGAATGAATGAGAATCAACTATAGACTATTTGATTTGATCATTTCCATAATTTCCATCAATTTTCACAATTCTACTGATGACACACAGCTTTACATTCCTCTTAGACTTCATGAAACAAGTCAATCAACTAGTTTAATGTTTATCCAATATAATAAATTGGATGAATGGCAGTGAAGCTCAGCAGAGGCCTTGTTAGCTTAGGCAGCTACATAAATAGTTCCTGACCCCTTTATACTCCGCCATTACTGAGACTGCCCTATATTACTACTTCCACCCTGAGGTTACAGTGTCTTGTTTCCGGTGCTAAAAAGGTTATTAGCCTTGAGCTCCCTGCTATCGGGGCCCTGTAGTGGCAGGCCTGGCTCATTTGAGGCCCTGGGCAACATGATGAAAAGTTTCCAGTGTTTCACACGAGGATGAACTTTAATTGAAGGTTCAACTGGATTATTGGTGATTGGCTAAATACCATTAGTTACTGCTAACCAGTCAGTCATAACTCCATCTAGCAATGTGTTATGAGCTAGCTAGCTAATGCTTAGCCACTTCAATGGTTTAATATATAAAATAGTCATCATGACTCACCCAAGTACTATCTTTTCATGTGATTTATAAATATGGTATTACGTGGTGTACAGCAACAAGAGGAATCCTATTTGTGTTATAGTAATCTGTTAGAATCACTATACTTTACTATAGGGCACTACACACATATGGTAGATTATTATAAGACATATAAGAAATATTATCAATTGAGAATTATTATATATTATATAGAAATCTATAGTTTCTTCTAATGTTATTGGATCATTTTTATAAGTGTTTGACCATACATCACTCACACAGACAGAGTAATGATAGGCCTTTTTTTAAATTATTATTATTGCTTTAAGTGATGCAAATTGCTAGCTTGCAAGTGACTGAGAGAGTATTCCATATGTTTGCATGTGTTAATGTTTTGTTGAATGTAACTTTACTGAGCTGTACAGTGAGACAGTTTGAGAGGTTTGCTCTTTGACTGCAGACATAAACACAGATTGTGTGTATGTGTGCTCGAAGCATCCACTGCCTTAGGCAACTGCCTGTATCAGTTGTGCCAGTAACCATCGCTGGAGCCCCGTACGTGCCCTGAATAAGAACGAGAACTGAGAGGACCTGTACACAACCCCATCCTGACAATCATCTCTTCACCAAACTGCATTTACAGAGACAGTTCAAGGCCAATGTAACCCACACAATTTCACCTCCACAGCTTCCCTGGAGCAATCCAGCTTCTGTCTGCCCCCGCTCCATCTCACCCCGTCCCTATTATACGTCTTCTTATGGTACATTCTATGCTGCACTGACACGATGGTGATGCATTAAATTTACGTGATTTAAATGTGTATCATTTCCACATTAATGAAATATAGCAATACACATTCTGTATATCAGAAACAATGTATAGCACAGTGCAAAAGTCAGAGACCACCCTTAATTTCTCAGAACAATGGACTGTCCACCCCAGAGTCCAGACCTTCACATCACTGACTGTTTCAATAATGAGAAGCAGAAAGTGCAACCAACGCCTAAGACTGAACTTTGGTGGGTATAGTGTAGTGGGTAGTGGGTAACACCTCTGCCTTCTACACTGTAGACTGGGGTTCAAACCCCACCTTGGTAAACACCCTACACTATACCAATAAGAGTCCTTGGGCAAGACTCCTAACACTACCTTCGCCTACCTGTGTAAAATGATCAAATTGTAAGTCGCTCTGGATAAGAGCGTCTGCCAAAATGCCATAAATGTAAATGTAAATGTAAACTTTGGAGGTGTGGAAAAAACCACCAGTGGCGAAACCAAGAAGGTTTTCCTTATGAACCTGACAAACTTAGCATCTAGCCTCTCATAATTCTAACTTAACATCTCATAATTAATAATTATGACTTAGCATCTCATAACAATGTCTTAGCCTCTTATAATTATGACTTAGCAACTTATAATTATGACTTAGCATCTTATAATAAATTAGCATATTCATAATTATGACTTATCATCTCATAATAATGTCTTCGCCTCTCATAATTTTGACTTAGCATCTCATAATAATGTCTTAGTCTCTCATAATAATGTCTTAGTCTCTCATAATTATGACTAAGCATCTCATAATAATGTCTTAGCCTCTCATAATTATGACTTAGCATCTCATAATAATGTCTTAGCCTCTCACAATTATGACTTAGCATCTCATAATTATGACCATAATTATGATTTCACATCTCATAATTATGACTTAGCATCTCATATTGATGACTTAGCATCTCAGAATTATGTGAAAATATTCTCATTAATGTGAGATGGTAAGTAATTATTATGGGATATTAAGTATAATAATCATCATCATCATAATAATGAGATGCTAAGTCATAATTATGAAAAACCTTCTCATTATTATGAGTTACTAAATGGCTATAGCTGTATTTTCTCCAGTGGCGGAAACTGACTGACTTGTTTTCTTTCTGACTCCTAAAAAGTAGTGATCACCAGAAGGCGCTGTTATTCAGCCTGTTCTCATCCTCTCATCCCGTGATCTTTGTGTTCATCCCAAAATGACGGAACCCAGCACGTCGCCGGAGGATCCCTGGCAAAAAGTAGGAAAACCAATCATAACATTATAAGCTGTTTTCGTTGTTTGTGTCTGGAAGCCAAACCAGATAGTTAGCGCGTCTGGTTTCCACCACATGACGCTCAGTGCACGCTGGAATCAGCTCCTTTCACCTTAAAGTTAGCGGGCTAGCTAAATAAAAAGCAACTTGGAGCGTTTGTCTTGTTCAGCTTCGAGGCTGAAGTTGGCTTCCCAGCTTCTTGTTCAGGTTTTCCCGTTCCACCTTAAACAGTGCAGCAGTAACATTGTGGCAGCTCGGGCGCTGGCGAATTAGAAGCTGACTTCAGCTTTATTGTTTAGCTAGCTAGCTAGTGCTAGCCAGCTCCTTCTCAGAGAATAACAAGACTCTTAGAAAGTATGTTAGCTGGCTAATTATGAGACTGTGAGAACCTGTAAAACACCTCCTCTCAGCAGTTTTATTCAAAATGTATAACGTTAGTTTAGATACCAAACAGTAAGAGTATCTATCAGCCTATTTATTATCTCGGAAGGAGCTGATACGAAGCTGAAGTTAGCTTTTATTCGATTTTCCGTTCCACCTTAAACAGTGCAGCCGTCGACATTCTCTCGCCTGAGCAGACTCCAGAGTTTTAACTGCTGCGTTTAAGGTGGAACGGAAAAGTCATGTCAAATAGGACGCCAACTTCAGCATTATTGAGCTGGCTAGTGCTGAATAACGAGCTTAACATCTTCATATTTTTAAAAAAATTTCTTAATTTTGTTCTGTAATACAACCAATTTTGGTGAAAAACAAGATACCAATAGTTGAGCCCCTCAGTAAGACCTCTCACTAATTAGCTGCCATTATGCTAAGCTAACTTAGCTTAACTAACTCGGCACACTTTTTCAGTTAACGCTACAAAGCTGACTTTCACTTAACTGTAAACTTATTTATGTGAAATGATTGATCGCCTTCTTCAGTGTCGTCAACTCTCACACAGCTCCTGTCACTGCAGATTAACTTAATAACGTAAGCTAGCTTGCTAAATGCTAGCCTATCTCTTAGAACATTTTCCGCGTCCCAAACCACACACTTCTGTACTTCACATACTATACTAATGAGTGCACTTATAATAGTATATGCGCTATTTTTACAGCCTATTTAGTGTGCTAGTATGCGAGTTGGGACGCGGCCATTGTTTTGTCACAGACCTACAGCTAAACTAGCCAGTTAGTTGAGCTAACGTGCCCTGGATAAGATGAGGTAACTGAGCTAGCTCAACTGCGATGATGGAGAAATATGTTGTGTTTTTTATTTATTTATTTATTTATTTCTGCCATAGATGGTTCATATTCCCTGCGCTTTTTATAATCTTTAAACACCATAAGTTGACGCTTTAGCCTAATAGCTCAGTTAGGGGACTTTACTATTCCATAATGAAGTCCACAGCGTACCTACGTGTTTTGTTTACTTTGTAATTAAAGGGGAACTCCACCGGTTTTTAAGAACATTTACATAACTAAATGGTTGAGATGTAAACAAAGCCGTTCAGAGTGGTTTGATGTGAAGCGCTCAGTTCTAGATAAACTTGCCTAGTGAGAATTGTTCACAGTGGAGGTGATGGGAACCAGACATCTGAAGACTTTAATGCCTCTGAAAGCTCCCTCGCAGAAAGTTATTATAATATATGATTAGATATCTGCTGTCTGGTGTTTGGCATATTGTTTTATGGTAGTTTTGTGCTAAAGTTTTGACTTAAATGTATTTCAGTTCATTTGTTTTAATCTTTTTTATGGTCAAATAGTCCATAAAGAAACCTTTTGATTTACCACTATTTTACCATCATCAACGTTACATATGAAAGCTCAGAAGATGTTTGGGTTCACTGGTTGTTTTGAATGGTAAACAAAAAAATTGTGTTTGCATTGTATACATCACACCCCCTGGTTCCTATCACCACCACTGTAAAGAATCAGAGTTGGTAAATTTCTTTATCTAAATGATTGAATTATGCAGAAATTTTGAAAATTCCCCTCTAAAAACAGAAGATTTGAGTACAATGAGTACATTTACATGCACAATTTGATAACTGCAGATTAGATTTAGTCAGTAATTAGTTCCACATGTTTACATGCACTTGGGTAATCAGATAAAGGGAAAACTCTGGGTCTGCATGAGGCAGGCAGTCAGATTTCTGACTTTTAACCAGCCAAAAAACTCCCAGAATAAGACCTGACATAAACATGATGAGTCACTTTTGCAGCATGTAACTGGTTTCTGTTTTGGTCCTAGTTGCTACTATTTCCAAGACAGTGCTGTGTTTTCTCACATATGCAGACTGAGGCTTTAATCCAATCCAAGAAATGGGAGTTTGCATGTTTGCATGACCACGTGAGATAACTGCTTTAATTCGGTGATGATCGGATCATAAAGTGCATGTAAACACACTCATTTGATTTTTATTTAATGTCTTACTGATCTGGTTAAGCTGAACAGGACTAAATAAGATCTCTCTGTAAAGAAGTATGCTGACGATCTCAATGATACGCTCAGAAAAGTACACTGTGACATAGTTTATCACGATAACGATACAGTATGATTGTACTGCCCACCCCGTAACTGCTGGCATTGTAAGTGGCATGTCTAATTCTTAGTGGTAGTTAAAGTGCATGCCCTTTCATGGTGCCAGCACTTTGTAAAGCAGTAAAACCTCACTGCCTGGCATGGCTGGGTGTTTATGGTTGTTTATTGAGGACATATCGCAGTAGGGAGTATTGGCGCCCCAGATACGTGACGTGCCATGTGTGTAGGTGTGTTAACTTTCAGTTCTGGTTGGTGGTTTATATCTCGGTGTGTCTCTCTCAGTCCTTCTCTGTGAGGGAAAGAGAAAGCGTTGAGCATCATTTTGTCATTTTGAATGAACTAATCCAAGTGTTTCTTTATTCCCTGTTCTGCACTTCACCTCATCATGGCTCAGCAGACGGACGGCACTTTTAGTGACAATGGCTTTGACCACAGTAAGTGCTTAAACTTTTTTTTTTAAGTGCTTTACATAATTAGACTGCTTGTAAGATTGTCTTAAACCAGTTTGTCCAGTAATAACCTGTACTGTACACTGAACAAAGTAACACACTGAATTTGCTTGATTTAAATGTGTATATAAATTGTACATGTTGCTCTGTGTATGTATTTTAGGTAAAACTTGAAAGAAGTAGCTTTACTGAGTCTGAGGAAAAAACAGGCTAAATTGCGGTGTGAATGCACTGCTGTGAGCTGCCCTGAAAATCCACGTATCAGCATCTCAGGCTCAAAAAGAAGGTCCGGCTCTGTTAAAATCAGCAGTATACTGCTGGAAATATGATGGCAATAGCAGATAATTCACTTACGTCCTCAGAAGACACGTCCTTCACCAAGTTTAGACTTAGTTTGCTTTGATCACTCCGAAGCACAACCTACATTACAAAATGTTGTATGTTATTGCACATTTCCACCAGAGAGGGCTCCAAATCCCCAAAACATACATAGTATAGCTTTTATATGTTATTGCTGTCCAAAAAGAAATGTATTTCAGTTTTTATTTTTATCATCTAAAACAGCAGCTGTACTTTATATTGTGTGAAAATTTCTTGTTGATTGGACAACTAGAAATGTACTTGGAATCACTTTACATTAACTTACATTAAAAGTTAGGAAGTTACTATTTTAAGGTGATGTTTTTTGGACAAAGGTTTTGTACTATGTGAACACAATTACTTCCAAAAGTAAGTTGTGTTAATGTAATATAGTTTATAGTTAATAACATGTAGCCTAATATGTATAACTATTTTAATAAATTCATTGCTTTTTTTAGTGTATTTGTTGTAAAAGATACAAAATAGTTATTAGTTGGCTGACATTTGATTCCTCGTCGAGGTATGTAACGATATGTGCAGTTTAGTGGGTTTTGATCAAGCAGTTCCCTAATGCTCTGTCTAATGTTTATTTCTCCATGTAAGCCTATGTGAAGTATTGCTTCATTTCCTCTTTAATAGGTTTCTTCATAGAGAACTCTCGTAAAGGAACAGTGGTCTCCAGAGCCAACAGTATAGGATCCACTAGCGCCTCCTCAGTACCAAATACAGGTGACTATTTCAGTTTTACCCTCCTGTTTTTGTCCCACAGTCAAAACTAATAATTCATTGTGTGTGCAGAAAAGATCAGAATGCATTTTACATCTGTTCTCTGCAGGGTTCTTTCTACAGTGGCAGTGTTTACGTGAAGCCTATTCATTCTGTTAATGACCAGTTTAGTAACTCCTGTGGAGTAAACTGTTTACATACAAACAGCAGAAAGTACATCAAGTCTAAACAGAGGCTCTTTTCTCATTGTAAATATAAATGGCAGTGTAATCTTGGTGATGGAAAACAGAATGAGATGAGTGGATATTCGCATCTATAAACAATGTAAATGTATGAATCTCACTGTTCTGTCAATGTTTGCTGTATGTTGGTTTATGTGCACAGCAGTTCGGCTGATTCCGCTCAAAAGTCTCACCCAGGGAAGCAGCGTGTTCAGACTGTGATGCTGAGCTGAAGATAAAGCCTGAGGCTTTCGAGATCCATGGCAACAGATGATTTCAAATGTTAAAAAAGGAAAAGAAATTACGAGACTGATGATAAATAAGCTGATTGGCTGCCCTGTTCTGTGTTATTCAAAAAGCAGTCAGAGCTGAAACACTCCTTAGAGCTTCATTAAGAATGAGTGGGGCTAAAGTGCTGTAGGCTGAATATGCCTTGATATGTAATGAGTTGGTTCTCATGACATCATAAAAACAATGAATTCAAAATGGGCTGTTTGTGCAGCATAGTTTCCATATGTGGACTGTACAGACTGAGTAGTCAATGGTACCTTTTGAAACTTTGACATTGTTTGCATATTACTTAACTCTTTATTCGAAAGAAAGAGATTTGGTTGTCCATGTTATTTGGACTTTGAAGTTGCAGAATGTATCATTCAGTCGATATGTAGGAATAAAGCTGCAATACAGTGTTTCTGTGATGTCACGAAAACCTATGCATTTACATATATCCACTTATTCAAACAACAAGTTTCTAACCTATAACCCTCACATTCACACTCAAGTTATAAGGGGTGTTTGAGCTCCGAGTTCTTTTTGAATATACAGAGTAGCCCATTAGAACAGTGGTCATCTACATAAATCAGTCTTAGAGACACAGAAACAAAGACAGCATGTCTAATGCTAAAGAATAAAAATAGGTTTGGAAAATGGTCAAATAAAACTGTTTTTGGTACACAAAACCACACAGTTAAGGGAAACAAATACAGGCGAATGTAGCATATGCCCTTTAAACACTTAGAGAAGCCGGAACTGGAAGGCAGCCATTGCGTTTTCCACAGTGGGACAGTTATGTAGTTGCCGTCTGATTTATGTTTTGGTTTTATGCCTCAGATGATGAAGACAGCGACTACAGACATGAGACCACTTACAAGGACTCCTATAAAGACCGCCGGAGACAAGCCCACACGCAGGCGGAGCAGAAACGCAGAGACGCTATTAAGGTATAAGAAACTGAGTATCTGAAAGAGGCTGAGGAAAGAGAAATAAAGAAAAACATAGATAAACAAGAAGAATCATTCTGTCCATGCTTTGCACACAAAAACGTATTTTCGGTTGGACAAGAACATTTGTAAAAATCCCACTCAGCCTACTGAGGAACTGTAGTGGACAAATGAGTTTATTAAATTCAAATGATACTATTTAGGATTATAATGATACACAAAATGCAGAACTTCAGTTATAATACATTTTTTGATACAGCAGAAATAATGAGAATATCATGTTTGCATTGTCAGATATATTTTCAGTTCTGAGGTCAAAATTCAATTTGATGATTCAAATTGATTAAAAATGATTCTACAGAGCAAATTATCTACTACACAGATTGGTTTGGCCCACATAAAGAAGGAAATAAACAACTTTCTGTTCTCATACAGACATTTTTTTAATACCCGTTACCTAATATCTAATCTGAGAACATAAACCCCAAAATTCTTAACCCCTCAAATGTATAATAAAGACCCCAGTAATTTTAATGTGCGTGTGTGTATAACAAAAGCCCCTCCCCACTTTCCCCTCCCTGCCCATTTGGTTTCTGATGCACCCACGCTAGTTCTTGAATGTATTCAGTGTTTTCACATCCAGTACAGTACCAATATCATTTTTGAATGTATTTGCTTTGCATGCATACCCGCAGAAAGGCTATGATGACCTGCAGTCTATAGTGCCCACCTGTCAGCAGCAGTCTGAGTTTGCTATGGCCACACAGAAGATCAGCAAAGCCACAGTGCTGCAGAAAAGTAAGTGTTTCTATAAGTTACACAATGGTGCTTTAAAATTTTGATGTAATGTCGTACATTACATCCGGAGCCAGTCGAATGATGGGTTCTTAGAATGGTGTCTGTTTAAAATATATGTGGGTTTTCAAAAGGAAATTTCATGCACTCTGGCTTTTTGACCTTGTTATGGAAATTCACAGATTTTCAACCAGTAAATCAAAATACCTAGGAAACAGTACAATGTTTGGATGCTCTTTGTATTTGATAGTTGTTAAACTCAATGTAATAAATATTTCCCCAGCAATTAACTTTGTATTTTAGTCTGAGAGTGCAACACTATTTCATATTAAAACCACAAAAAATTTATTCTGGTAACTGAGCCACTGGACCCTGCTAACAGGAGACTGGTCTCTCTCTCTCTCTCTCTCTCTCTCTCTCTCTCTCTCTCATATATATATAATATATATATATATATATATATATATATATATATATAGTAGGTGTGTGAATTTGACTCCAGTAAATTCAGAGCATCACTTTCTAACTGACTAATGCCTGCTTGATTGGTTTCTCGACGCGACGCTTTGTCTGTGTTTTTTTCAGCCATAGACTACATTCAGTTCCTTCATAAAGAGAAGAAAAAGCAGGAAGAGGAAGTGTCCACACTCAGAAAGGAAGTGATGGCTCTGAAGATTATGAAAACGTAAGTGAGGTTCAGAGATCATGGGGCATGGTAGAGTGAGCATGACATGTGTTAGCTTTACCATATTGTGAGACTTGAAGCCAGGCAAAGCCAAAGAGCCCAGAACTGAAATCCTGTTACATCCAGTTAGTTAAGCTTGAGAAGCAGGCTGTCCCAACTACTTGATTGAAAAAATAAAAAGGATTAAAATTGACCTTCTCAGTGAATTAGTAATAATAACTTGTCCATTTTGATAATTATGCTTATTTAAATTTTTACAGTGAGAGATGCCCATTTTTGCTACATAGTACTTATAAAAGTTTAGAAAGTCTTTTTAAAGTATGTGTAGTTTATATATATATATATATATATATATATATATATATATATATATATATATATATATATATATATATATTTATATATTTTAAATGATCTCTGAAAGCTTACAGCATGGTAACTCCATTTTAACTGTCTGGCCTTTTGCAAAAATCTGATCACATAATTTACCATCTAAATGTCGCTAATGACAGCCCTGTTAGCTAGTATTATTGTTATAATTCCACTTACACGGCTCTTTTGGCACTGTTATGTTTGGCTGGATGTCTCTGTACACAAGTGTAAGTGGGCTTATCCCGTTAGGCTGGCCTGCTTGTATTTGGCAGGACATCAGAAGGTTTTATCTGACCCTCACACTCACTGAGAAGGAGATAACACACAACTGAGAGAACAGCAAGAACCGGGACACAAGCAATCAGACTGAAGTTCACTGTGATGCAATATGGGTTAATTTGTTTGTTATTGATTTGGGTACTTGCATTTTGTCACAACGGGTGATGAACTGACTCTGTAGCTGCACAGTCTCTTATATTAGTAATTGACTGATTATTTTCATGATTAATCAGAGTTTTTAAAAAGGGACAGACAATTAAAATTAAGCTAACAGAACAGGATCACACCATGCATCGCTTTTCAGAGACTCCAAAGCACTTCACTGGAAAAAGATGAACAAGTCTTTAAAACACTTCATTAAAGGGCCGTATCATAGAAAACCCAGTTTGCCTTGTTATTTTGATGTAAAAGAATTTTGATGTGCATAAACAGCTACTAAGCTGGAAAATGGCACATTTAGTATTTGTCGTTTGTGTGATGTCACAGCAGTTAAGCCCCACCCATTCATGTTGAAGTTAGAAACAAGATTCCAGCCTGGGCTGATTTTTGAATGAGGCACAATACAGGACAGCCATTCAGAAAGGTGCACATTTACGTATATCAATATTAAAGGCACTGTAACAAAAAAAGGCTGTTTAATAAAGGTTGAAGAGAGGCTAGAAAATAGTCAAAATAATTATTGTTACTTGGTACATAAAAGCACACAAACATCGTAAGTGGACCTTATGATTATGTTGTCTATAGAGGCCTTTTATATACAGTCGTATGCAAAAGTTTGTGTTCCACTGGGAAAATTCCATGTTTTGTTGACAGCCTCTAGAGAGAACACATTAATGCACATTTAAATGCACAATTACTGTTTAACATATTAGAAAAAAAATGGCCTGTCCAAAGTTATAATGTATTATAAAAATATATCACTTTACCAAAGTGGTAATTTTACAGGAGAAGGAAAAAACATACTTTACTTTTAATGCAAGTCAGTGGAACCAGACTTTTTTCCAAGTCATTCTGGGCTGTTTCTTTTGGGCTATTTATCATGAATAAAATATATATATATATATATATATATAAAATATAAATAATCATAAAATGCACATAAATGAACGCATTTCTTAATTTTAGGAAGGGAAAACTGTGCTTTCCGATGGTTGACTAGCAGGGCTAGTGCATTTACTTCTGCACATTTTAATGCACAATTACTGTTTATTTGCTGAATTTAACATATTAGAAAAGGAAACATAAAATGTGGTCTGTCCAAAGTTACGGCACATTTTATATGTATATTCCTAATATGTTAAACTCTGCAAATTAATAGAAATAGTACACTAAAAACACACATGCATATATATGCACGTGAATGAACTTATTTCTTGATGTTATGTTAGGAGGGTAAGACTGCATGTCTCTTAGTATTCTGTAAAGCTTTCTGATGGTGGACTAGCAGGACTGTAGTTTTTGTCCCGCTGCGTTTGTGATGACTAGGCTAACTGCTCAGACATAAACACAGAGGATGAGAGCTGGACGTGGCTTGTGACCCACTTTAGCAGCAGCGGCAACACCCTGCAGCGCACTGAATTAATGAAATAGACAGATGAGGCAGGGGGTGCTGGTCTTTGCTTCACAGCTTGATTTAGCCAAATAAAAGCATCTAACTTAATAAAAGCACATTCTGAATGACCTTTTTTACTTTGCAGCTTTGTAGTTCTGTAAATTATCACTACCCCCTTTAAATCTTACTCTCAGAAGACACATATTATTAGTTTAGTTTTGCTATACTACATACTTATGTAATAGCATAGATAATTATCTGGCGAATGACTCAATTAATTACTTTTACATCATGTGTCAACAGCTTTTTCTATTTGTTTTAATGTCAAGTAATGAAAAACATGACACATTTTATATTTTATATATATATATATATATATATATATATATATATATATATATATATCTATCTTCCACGTACAAACGCAGATGTGATGTGGATTGAGTTTGAAATCTGCACTTTCATTAGAATTTCTCCTTTTTTTGATTAACTGTGTTTCAAATAAAACCATCTTTTTGTAGTTCCAAGGGTTCCAGTGGTTAAAATGGACATTTTAATTTTTCTGTTCTGCTTGACAATATAATAGTTTAGAATATGCATCCATATGCAAATGTAGGGCTGGGCAATATGACAGTGTTTTATCATTATCATGATAAATGACATCACAGTATGTCACAGTACGCTTTTCTGAATATATTGTGAACATCATCAGAACTTAAATACTTCCTAGCTGCATGTTTGAGTACAAAGAGAGCATAATAGCATCTTAATTCACTGGATTTAATGCAGCACAGTATGTACTGTTGAGTACAAATCACTGTATTCATAATTTGACATATCATGTATCATGAAAATTACATGATATTACATTTTTTGCTATTTTGTCCAGCTCATTGCAAATGTTCTTGTATTTCTGACATGTTTTGTCTGCATGTGTTCTACAGCAACTATGAGCACATAGTGAAGGCCCACCAGAATAACCCTCAGCAGGGCAGCGAGCAGGTGTCAGACCAGGTGAAGTTCAGCGTGTTCCAGAACATCATGGATTCTCTGTTCCAGTCTTTCAGCACCTCCGTCTCCGTCAGCAGCTTTCAGGAGCTCTCTGCCTGCGTCTTCAGCTGGATTGAGGAGCACTGCAAACCCCAGGTAACACCACACATACGTTTCCTGAGACTTAGTGTCAGCCTCATAACAGGAAAACAGACCATCTGATATTTATTGTACGCTAAGTTGGGGCCACAACTGTTGAAATTTGGTCAGTTACACTTTGATTAACTGCATCTATTTTTATCAGTCCGTCAGGAAACAAGCTAACTTCTAGCTAGTCACCAGTAGCAAGCAGTTGCCTGCACTGTGACGATAATGAACCCTTTAGAGCAGAGATATCCAAACCTTTTAAAGGGGGCAGAATGGACCCTATCAACATTCCTGACGGCCGGTCATTCTTTCCCAAAATATTACTTATAAATTACTTTAAATATTCTATAGTCAAAATATGAAAAAAACAAGAATATAAAACAAGTGACATTTATTGTACAAACTATTGAATTTGTTCAGTTAAAAAGCTGGTTTAGTTTTTTTGCCTTCTTTCCACTTGAATATTTATTGTAATGTCCACACTAGTTTTCATAATGTATTTTCATATGGAATTAACTACAGTTTCTTGACATATGAGGTGCACATTTGTTATGGCTCTTAATGAATAAGTGTTCCATTACTCCTGAAATTGCTGGTTGTCACTATCAGCTGCACTTTTTGTGAGTAAATATCTTTTGGTAAATTAATTTGCAGGTCAGTTGTAAGTTCATTGTAGGCTTGCAGCACTACTGCCACAGTCAAGTGAAAGGAACAGTTGCAACATATAAGTCGGAAATCTGGTTACAGTCAATCCGCGGGCCACATTTGGCCCCGGGGCCGGACTTTGGACACCCCTGCTTTAGTTAGAGCAAGATGCAGGAATTGGACTGAAATGTTTAAGATCACAGCATTCAGTGTACAAGTTACATACTCTTTGTTCTATATGCAGTTTTACCCTGACTCTTCTGGAAAGGTCCTAATTTGAAGGCTGTTTGTCAGTATTATTGAATAGGGTTGCACTGATACTGTATTGGTCTCAGCGCCAGTACTGGCACTTAAATGCAGCTCTGGGATACCAATACCACAAAGCTGCTGACTGACGCGTGCATGTGGTGTGGGCTCACCAGCAGCAAAAATATTCAGGAAGGCAGTGGTAGTTGATGATGTACCAGAATTCTTCCTAAGGCTTTAGTTTCACCAGTATGCCACAAATAAGCCAGGTAACAACATACATGCATTGCAAAACACACTAATGGGAGTCACTTAACGTCACCTGACTGGCTGAGCCGCTTCTTTCAGTAATCTCATCTCCCGCTGTGTAGTCAGTTACAGTCTGTGTTAATGTTAGTCCAGGTTGTTACTGAGGAGCGAACTTTAGAGGGACATTTGGAAGGAGCCATCAGACTTTTAGTGTAGTAGTAATTGCCTGTAGCCTCAAGTTAGCCTTTAGCATAGCACCCCACTAGCTCAAGGAAAGCCTCCAGCAGAGTGACGCTTAGAGATGTAAGTGTGATGTATGGGGCATGAAGCAACATTCAGGCGTAGAAAAACAATCAGCACTGGTTTTCAGTGAGCTAGAGAACCTGATGTGTGTTTGTGTGAACACCACAGATTAGTCTGCATATTGTTCAGTTCTGTTTTTGAACTATTTTGTGCAATAATATACACACACCGACCAGCCACTTCATTACATACACCTCCTTGTTTCTATACTCACTGTCTATTTTATCAGCTCCACTGACTGTATAGATGCACTTCGTAGTTCTACTATAATAGACTGTAGTCCATCTGTTTCTGTCCCTCTTTTACCCTGTACTTCAATGGTCCAGACCCCTAATGACCACCAGGTGGTCTTGTGGGAGTTGTAAAAGGGTAAAAGGGGGCTAAAAAGTTATGCAAATAGATGGTCTACAGTCTGTAATAGTAGAACTACAAACACATGCACTTAATGAAGTGGCTGGTTGGTGTGTATGTATACATGTAGGAATATTTTGAGCTGAGTCCATTAAAACCTTTGTCCTTTTGTTAGGTGGAAGAAAATACATCAGACATAAGCTCAGAAAAAAGACAGTGAAATGCAGTGACTGCTAACAACAGTGTCTGATTGGCCATTTTGCATGTCACTCAAATGCCCCCTTCCTGTCAAAAGTTGACCACATTGAGTACCAAAACCCACCACAGTATCTGTCGATAGTCACAAATGTAGCTTGACCCTGAGACTGCACATAGTGTACTGACTGCACTTAGTGTACTTGACAAAAATGGAAGTTTCTTGGCTGGGCTGCACAATGTGTATATTAATTGTTATAGTGATAGTGGCCTTTCTGATATCGCAGAAAGCTGCCATATGCAACTGAGTCCTCTACCCAGTCCCAAAGTGCTCAATCCACGCCAGTTTTTGCAGATATTTGATGAATCATTGTATTCATATAACTCAATAAAAGTAAACAATGATGTTCAAAAACAGTGCAGGCCATTCTTCAAACATGCTCATTATTAATTCACCAGTGGGGTTTTAATACATTTAAAGACATCACAAAATTTAGCAATATAATGACAGTCCTCTAATTTTGTCGATATAGACACACACCTAAAAGAGCATCATTGATGATTACACCATTACAGAGATCTGAGGCCAGTTACTCCACTGTTTTCCAGTGCGGCTGTGTTCTGTTCTGTGTAGTCCTCACTGAGTATGTGTTCTTCCACAGACGCTGAGGGAGTTTGTTGTGGGCGTTCTGAGGCAGCTGAATGGACAGCTGTACTGAAACTTTGGAGATCGTTCCCCCTCAGGCTGTGGATCTGGAGTTTGTGTAGAGCGGTCAGGCTACTCTTGGCTGCACAACTACCAGCAGGGTTTATCCACACACACACACACACACAAACACACTAATGCCACCTAAAGCAGGCGGTCTGTAAGGGTCCTTAATTGGCTGTCACACAAGTGATAAGTGGCTAACAGCTGAGCCTTTTGGTTTCCCGCAGTGAGACTAAGTAATTAGACTGTTAGAGCAGACAATTTGAATGTGATGTGACTATGATTTTACAAAATCTTGAAATGGAGAAAATTACGTCTCATTTAGACAAACAATGCATCAATACTGGTTAACATAGTCGTTTCTAATTAAAAGTTGCATTGCATGACATGGGACATCTGGACTGGGGTGTGTTCAGAAAATGTGAATTCCAAGCATTTTTTATTTGCTACTTTGCTACAAAACTGATTGGGATTGGAGCTTGACTGACATCAGCCAATGTTCACAACTCATTTTTTATTCATGTTGGTCTTCTTGGTTGCAGCGTCACTAAGGTTTGCATTCTGCGCCCAACTGGACGAAACTATAGATGGTTGTTCTGGTTTGTAACCTCATACAAGTCATAGGTAAATTGAATAATGGAACACCATCATGGTTAGAATAACAAAACCTTTTAAATGTATCCAAACATAACTTTTAGCATGTTACACAATGACGTGTATGTAAATGAAGTAATAAAAATAAGTCAGGATGCAAGTTAAAAGTGGAATCATATTGGAATTTCTTAAAAATATCAGCATGTTTAGTAATATTTCAATATTTAATCAAGTATTTATTGTATTCTTTAAGAGCAGAATGTTTAGGTTATGCTGGGTTACTACACCGAAATGTCTGTATTTTATTCATTTTACTGCATTTATAACCCTTCAGAATTTTTAAAAATGATATATACACATATTAAAAATTGGCATTAGCAGATGCGTACCTTAAAAACATTGGATATTGTGCCATAATTTCTACATCAGTGCATCCTTAAAAATAAGAGGTAACTAATAAACCAAAACAACAAATTATTTCACTGGTGCTACAATATTTTTGTATTATTTTAAAAAGTTTCTGCTGTTTATTTGAGTTGGAGAAGTTTGAGAATTGCGAACTGATGATCATATCAGTCGGCAAAACACTGTTTACCTAAAACCATTGGATTGTAAAATTAAAATCTATACATTTTAGCATTGGTATATTCTATTGACCTAAATTTTAGCATTTAGATCAATAGAATAAATTCTGAAAATGTAATATGTAAATGTAATCATAATGTGACCAGGGAAAAGTCTTAAATATATGTATTATTTATGCTTATACCTGATACTATTGCTTTATCTTTACTCATATTTGGTCAGAGTTATTTGGACACAGATTAAGGCTAGTTTTGGACAAAACCAGACAGATATTGGAGATTCCCAATTGTGTACTCTTTTTAGATTAGAACTAAGCCTAATCTGTGTTCAGCCTGACATTTTTAACACGTTTCTTTAACAGTTAATAAGCTCTCTAAAAAGTCAGCAGTAAGGCGTACAAAACGGAGCTCTTTGTAATCTTGAAAGGATTTTTCTCTGCCGGTTTATTCATGTAAAAAGAAGGCTAAAATGTTTTAAGATTTAAGCTGTTTTGTGCAAGAACATAACAAGAAGGGTTAAAAATAGATAAGATAAGTAAATAACCCACACCCCAGTTCCACAGGGAATTTATCTGCACCTCTCCAGTGCTTCTGAAAGCAATGCAATAACGTCAGTGTTGATTATCTCCTGTTGGGTTGTGCGTCTGCCCGCCTGCTCCAGCTGAAGTGTGCATCGTCTCTTGCTTACCTCTGATATCAAACCCTCTACTGTCAGAACTCTTTGGCTGGAGGTTTGATATATATATATATAATGTGATCTATACAAGCAAATTGCTGAAATATTCCCCACCAACTCGTTTTAATGAGGCTGGTGTACTATGCGCAATCATCTTCTCTTACCTCATTCACATCCCAAAGCACAATATAAATCAGACTTTTGCTTGTGTTGTTTTAAAGCTGGGGCTAAAGGTAGCGTGGGGTTTTATCTATTACAGTTGTGTTTTGTTTTTCTGATTAATGTATACAGAATAATGATTCATGAATATACAAGCTGAAATGAGACAGACACTTGTTGCTTACTCCTACCTCTATGGGGCTGACATCCCAATATGATCAAAAATGGAATAAAAATATTAGTTTTTTATTTTCGTGCCAGAAAATGTAACAATCTTTTGTGCTTGTTCTGTTTTTGAGAAAAATTCCCTGTGATGGATCAAATTGGTCTTTGTGATAGTAAAACAAACATTTGAGCAACTTAATTATCAAGTTAGAAAGCCCTTTTTTTTTGATTAACATCATTAAGACCCCCCACCAGCGGCTAAATAGCACCAAAATCGTATTTGTGCTGTCTTATCAGATTATTGGCTAAAGAACAATTAAAAAAGGAATAATTGAACAAGTCATTCAGCCCCACACAAACGTCCAAATCACACCAAAAATGTCTCATTTGTTTCCTCTTAGCTGCACAGACCAGCACACACAAACAAGCTCGTGGTGTAATTTGACTGCTGGTGAGGTGCTGAGTGACATCACTCCTCAAAACATTACGGCTTTATAACCTGAGAATTAAAATAGCGCAAACGTAACAAATTTGGCTGATGGGGGGCTGAGTGACATCACAGGTAATAAAATTTTATACTTAATTTCTCAAAACCTGTATCCACACAAATGCGGCACAAACAAATAGTAATATTTCTATTTCGTTTCTGATCATATGGGGTGCCAGTTTAGGAGGTCTTACTCTTTGGCACTGTGGCCAAAGATCTGCGCACAAATGATTAAAAATGAGGAGGGGGAGGGAGACATGCGTGTCGCAAATATTGTTTTGTTTTTTTTGGTTTGTTTTCAGTCTAAAATGACAATGATGTGAACTGATTTTATATTGTTGGCTATGGCTGCCCCTTGTACCACACTCATTTAGTTCAGCACAAAGACACTGCAGTTTGACTTATTGCGATTTCTATTTTCAACATATGGATTAAGTCTAGTCCTGGACTAAAGGACAAAGTGAAAACAGAGTCCAGGACATAGCTTAACGTACGCTTCTGAAGAAAAATGTGTAATTAAAATGGGAATGTATATCAAAGACTAATTAAAATGAGGAAATGTTTACCTTAAGAATACTGGGTACTCAGGAAAACTGAATCTCTGTACATTCAGGTCGTGTTTTAATGAATGACGATTAATCAGGCTGTTGAATGACCTGTGCTGGGAAAAAAGGGACTCTTTCTGTCTTTAGCCATAATGTGGAGCGAGTGGAGACCAGAGACTCCATGCAAATGAGACTCAGTGCATCACAGACAGCACTGTTCCTAAGACTGTCTGCTGATTCAGACCAGAGAATTCTAGACAAAAAATATTTTTGTATGAACGCAGTTTGTAATCAGAAAATAAATGTTTAATGTTGAAACCTATTTACAGTTCTGTGCATTCTTTAAACTTATGTACATTATTTACAGTTCTGTGCATCACTCATGTGAGTAACAAAGGCAGAGATTGCACTGAAAAAAGTTCTGCTTTGAATGAATGATTCAAAAATGTACATCATTTACACATGGATAAAATATGCTGCCTTGATTCAGTTACTGGCAAACGCACATAAACCAAAAGGCAAAATTGTGTCTATACAGTCATACACAAAAGTTTGAATAGTCCCTGCAATTTACATTTTGTTGATTTTTTAAATTTTTTTAAAATAACATCCTCTATAAGGAACAAGCTTAAATATGACATTTTCTCCATGTTTTAGTGCACATTTTCTATTTATTTTCTGAGATTAACATATTGGTAGAAAAATAAACTAAAATGTGCCTTAACTTTTGCACAGCCCACATTTTTTTAATGTTAAATACAAATAAACAGTAATCATGCATTAAAATGTACACAAGTGTGTTCCCAGTAGAGGATGCTGACTGGAAAAATCAACAAAACAAACTCCAAACCTTTGCATGTGAAATTATTTACACATTTGAATCAAGTTCAGTGCAGTACTTTTTCAGTGTGGTGGCCCATCACGGTGTGGACAGACCTGCTCAGTAAACGCTTCGCTGTCCTGGGTGCCTCACGTCTTACTGTCCTGGTGGTGCCCTGGCAACCGGTGTCCATGGTTACCCAGTCAAAACAGCATTCAGCATCAGATGTTAGGAATGGCCACTTTATGGTCCTCATCGGTTTCAACCCCAACCTCCTCCTAAATAAATAAACAAATGCATAAATGCACAAATTATTTTTACTGTGGACTCTAATTAAAGTATTTAACATTAACCACTTAATTTTTTACGGTGTCTTCCACAAATATTGGCACCTCCGGTAAATATGAGCAACACAGGCTGTAAAAAAACACTGTTTTTTCCCCTGACAGACTCTTTAACATCTTCAGCTGCTTTAAACTTAATAATTGCTCTGATAGTGAAAATGTGCATTTTCAACTGTTTATACATTTCCTTGAAGCCATTTTGCTGATTTGCGCAGCTCAACAACATTTTGTCGCACATCACTGATACATTCTCTGGTCTTTCTCACACTGACGGACAACTGAGGACATTTGGCATGTGTGTCACCTCATATTTATACCCCAGTGAAACAGGAAGCCATGGCTGAATATTTAAGTTCCTATTCACCCAAATGAACTTTAAAACATGAAATATGAATGTGAATATACTTGTTAGATTTCGCTCATAAGAATTTCTAGTGGTGCCAACAACTGTGGCACATATATTTGAAAAAAATATTTGTGCCATGACAAGATATGGGTTCTTTCTTTTAATCATTGTACTTCAAATAAAGGTATATTTTAAATGAAAGATCAAGGGATAAACAATAAAGAATCATTTTTACAGCCTGTTTTTTGCTCATGTTTACCAAGAGTGCCAATATTTGTGGAGGGCAAGGTATGTTATTCATAAAATATTTAACAGAATTACATCTGTTTCAGAAGCACTTTTAGTACAACATTAAACTGATGGTCGACTCTTGAGGTAAAAATGTCTTAAGTCGGGCTGTTTTTCTTACAGTGATGGGGATCATGAATGCAGAAGTAATTTTGTGTGCAAACCTGCAGGTGTCTGCAAAGAAACTGCTTAAAAGGTAACAAACTGAAACTCACCAGATCTGAAACTCATGTCGACTGAATGAATACTTGGCCAAAAACAAAATGACAGACTTAGAATGGTCTGTTTAAAATAAATGATTTGGCAAAATTAACTTCATGAATTTTTCAGCTTGACAAATACTTTAGTGTTACTTTTTGAATACTTTTTGGGGCTCCTTTCATTCAATAGTGCTATATTTTAGTCATATTGTATTTTGACAGATTTAAGCAATAAGCCACAAGAGACCATGTGTTACAGCGATTTTACACAGTTTAAACAATATTATTATATATTAACATTGTTCTATTTTTAGAGACTCACCAGAAACTGCTTCTTGCTCTTTGGGTAACCCTCAAGAATGGCTCCCATCATATCAGACGCCTGAATGATCAGTCCAAAATAAACATATCAGTGCACTGTAAATGCTGTGTCTGTGATAAGTATACAACGGTAAAGCTGATAAACTGAAGTCTTTACCAGTCTCTTTCGTTTCTTCCACTCTTTCACAAACAGGCATCTCTCCTTGTAAACCTGTGGTTTGGACAAAACAGGAATTTATGTAAAATGTCAGAATCCATTTGAAATCATGCCTAAACACTAAATATATCTATTTTGTTCAATTTCCTAAAGCTACACAGCAAAATTGTGCAGCTTCATAAACTATCTTATAGTCAGATTTTGTTTTACAACTTGATTAATCAGCCATGTCTAAATGCACCCTTAATAGCACCATCAGGAGTGTCTATTTTCAGTCCTGTGAGAGCACCAAACTGTGCTGGACACTTGCTTTTTGTCTACTGGACAGTGCGGTACAGTTGTCATTTCCACTGAACCATACCATACCTGAGTACTTGTGCTGAATTTGGTTACTACCCTTCTTACTGAATTACCAAGCATCCCAAGACAGAATGTATAGTTAGAGCTAGAAAGTGCACAACATTTGATTGGACCAACGCAACTGTCACAGAATTGCTGCTTATGTCCATCAACTGCTGTTTGTAAGAACAGACTTAAGTACTCAGGGTACAGCTTGTTCTGGGTTTGGATTAGTACTGTAAGATAAGATAAGATAATCCTTTATTAGTCCCACAACGGAGAAATTCACACTGCTACAGCAAAGGGATAGCAACTGTGCCACAACGCACTGCCCGGTGTGAAAACGCCTTTAAATCATGCCATAAGTGGCTTCAGACCTTTTCCCTCTCTGCAGGGGTGACGTGATTTGTAGCTGATTTGATTTTGTTTAGACGTTCTTTGTAGCCTTCACACTCAGCTTTCAGCTCCTGGATCTGTGATGTCATCTCTGCTGTGGTCAACGAGCTGTTCAGCTCTTTCAGCTCTGTGGGTGAACAAACAAAATTTCATCAGGGTAAGTCGAGTTCAGACAGAACTGTTATTGGGCTACAGTCGAGTTCAGACAGAGTTCTGTGGGCTACAGTCGAGTTCAGACAGAACTGTTATTGGGCTACAGTCGAGTTCAGACAGAGTTCTGTGGGCTACAGTCGAGTTGAGACAGAACTGTTATTGGGCTACAGTTGAGTTCAGACAGAGTTCTGTCGGCTACAGTCGGGTTCAGACAGAACTGTTATTGGGCTACAGTCGAGTTCAGACAGAGTTCTGTCGGCTACAGTCGGGTTCAGTTTTTTGTTGGGTTAAGACAGAGTTCTGTCGGCTACAGTCGGGTTCAGACAGAACTGTTATTGGGCTACAGTCGAGTTCAGACAGAACTGTTATTGGGCTACAGTCGAGTTCAGACAGAGTTCTGTGGGCTACAGTCGAGTTCAGACAGAGTTCTGTGGGCTACAGTCGAGTTGAGACAGAACTGTTATTGGGCTACAGTTGAGTTCAGACAGAGTTCTGTCGGCTACAGTCGGGTTCAGACAGAACTGTTATTGGGCTACAGTCGAGTTCAGACAGAGTTCTGTCGGCTACAGTCGGGTTCAGTTTTTTGTTGGGTTAAGACAGAGTTCTGTCGGCTACAGTCGGGTTCAGACAGAACTGTTATTGGGCTACAGTCGAGTTCAGACAGAACTGTTATTGGGCTACAGTCGAGTTCAGACAGAGTTCTGTGGGCTACAGTCGAGTTCAGACAGAGTTCTGTGGGCTACAGTGGGGTTCAGACAGAACTGTTATTGGGCTATAGTCGAGTTCAGACAGAGTTCTGTCGGCTACAGTCGGGTTCAGACAGAACTGTTATTGGGCTACAGTCGAGTTCAGACAGAGTTCTGTGGGCTACAGTCGAGTTCAGACAGAGTTCTGTGGGCTACAGTCGAGTTGAGACAGAACTGTTATTGGGCTACAGTTGAGTTCAGACAGAGTTCTGTCGGCTACAGTCGGGTTCAGACAGAACTGTTATTGGGCTACAGTCGAGTTCAGACAGAGTTCTGTCGGCTACAGTCGGGTTCAGACAGAACTGTTATTGGGCTACAGTTGAGTTCAGACAGAGTTCTGTGGGCTACAGTCGAGTTGAGACAGAACTGTTATTGGGCTACAGTTGAGTTCAGACAGAGTTCTGTCGGCTACAGTCGGGTTCAGTTTTTTGTTGGGTTAAGACAGAGTTCTGTCGGCTACAGTCGGGTTCAGACAGAACTGTTATTGGGCTACAGTCGAGTTCAGACAGAACTGTTATTGGGCTACAGTCGAGTTCAGACAGAACTGTTATTGGGCTACAGTCGAGTTCAGACAGAGTTCTGTCGGCTACAGTCGGGTTCAGTTTTTTGTTGGGTTAAGACAGAGTTCTGTGGGCTACAGTGGGGTTCAGACAGAGTTCTGTGGGCTACAGTGGGGTTCAGACAGTTTTGTTAGGCTACAGTGGGGTTCAGACAGAGTTCTGTGGGCTACAGTGGGGTTCAGACAGTTTTGTTAGGCTACAGAGGGGTTCAGACAGAGTTCTGTGGGCTACAGTCGGTTTCAGACAGAGTTCTGTGGGCTACAGTCGGTTTCAGACAGAGTTCTGTGGGCTACAGTCGGGTTCAGACAGAATTTGTTCTGACTACATTTAGGTTCAGTGATAATTTTGTCAGGCTACATTCGGGTCAAGATCAGAGCCAAATAAAGCTATAATATGTACCTGCATCAAGCTGCCTGCAGTCCTGGGAGACTGTCTGCACTTGGCTGCTGAGTTCTGTGATGCGACGGTCCATCTCCTTCAGATCAGCATCACTTACATCAGCAAACTGAGACTGCAAGGACAGCATAAATATTTTAAGAGCAAAAATTAAGCCAACAATTTTTAAAATTCAGTATGCACATTTTTTTTTGTATTAAATCAGTAACTTCACCTGATCAGCAAAGTAGATCTTCTGCTTGCCGTAGACCTTCTCTCTGATCTTACCCTCCTGGGCCAGCTGCTCCATGGCTTTCACCACAGCCTGTTAGTGCACAGTTACATTTAAACACACTTGGGGCAAATTACATCAATAGTGCTGTATTATACATTACTATATGCACTACATGAAATGACAATGCAGACAAACAAGTACAGATATCCTGAATTAATTTCCACATATCATTTATATGCCTATATTAAGCTACACAGTGCTTTGATAACTGTGTCATTCTCTACATTTACACGTAAAGCATGCATCTAGCAGAAGTTTGGTCATGATGTAGGCCAAATGTTTCTTTATGCAACATCATGTAAACGAAATAAAGTAACTGGCATCATTTACAATACCGTTTTGCCAAGGCCATGCTGTTTCTGCAGGTTACCAAACACATCCTGGGCACTGTAGGGTCGGTTCTTCTCATTCAAGTAGGTGAGGATAATGTCAGCACCTGATAATCACATCAAACAGACCAATATGACTATTACAGGCACCCAGCGAGGGGATGACATGTCTGAAAGAGATTAATGTGTTATTAGTTTTGTCATGTATTATTCTGTAATTTCACGTTTTCCTTCATTTATGTTGTTTCACTACAATACCCAGTATGCATTGCACAAATATGTCAAAAGAGTAAACAGAAGACATGATATTTGACTTTCTTAATGGCTGGGTTTTATATTCACAAGGGTAGATTCTGAGGCAAAAGGCCATTTTTTATTGCCTTTGGAAAGAAGATGGAACGTTATATTGAATTAATTCTGCCCTCTTTAAAACAAAAAGCTATTAAAACTGTTATGTATATCACCCCCCAGCAAATTTATGGGTATAGTTACTGTTTATGTATATTTTCCTTTTAAATGCACCTGAGGTTGTGTACCATGGTTTGCTTTCTATTAAAAAGAAATATATTTAAAAATATTAAAAAAGTACGGAGCCCCGCTGGTGACATCCTGTATAAATAAAAATAATGCGTGGCCACGACTTAGTAAGGCGTGGGAACGAGATGCTAATGCGTGGCCACGACTTAATCATCTCGTTCCCACGCCTTACTAAGTCGTGGCCACGCATTATTTTTATTTATACAGGATGTCACCAGCGGGGCTCCGTAGCAAACAACAAAGTGCACGCGATTTTTCCGAAGGTCCAGCCACCTTAAAGATCATCAGAAGGGGACTGTCTGAGTCTTTAAATCGGAAAATCTCTCTCTATACAGACTAATTCACTGCGGCTCCACTGTAGGATGCGAGTACAGTAAGTTACACATGTATACAACATATGTGGCGATGGTTACATTTCTCATTTCGCCCGGGGTGTCCCTTTGATCTGGCAAAGTGAGTTAGCGATTCTCCAATAACGCATCAGTCAGCTTGGTATCAGAGTCTGTTCTCCACAGGTTAGCCGCACTGGCTACTTCCATGCGCTCACTAAAGCCACAAATCGAGACTGTGGTGTGCAGTAAAACCCCTTAAAGTGTTTCATTAAGTTAGTATCCTCGCGATCCGGTCGAGGCTGAAGTTGGTTACCTGTTATCCAGCTTCTTGTTCGAATTTTCCCGTTCCACCTTAAATGGCGCAGCAGCTACGTTCTGACGGCTCAGCAGCCAGAATGTAACTGCTGCACCATTTAAGGTGGAACGGGAAAATTCGAACAAGAAGCTGGAGAATACAAAGCTGACTCAGCGTCGTTTTCAGGCATCATAGAGCATCGATATCGTATAATATGAGACATTTCACGTTTCCCGTGATCGCCGTGGGACATTTAACGCTAAGCTAAGACGCAGAGTTTGCGCTGATAGCAGGTCAGCTAACTTAACGCGAACTCACTGTTCTGTTTAACAAACCCACCGACTTGACACCAAAAAAGGAAACGAAATAGATGATAAAACATAGTTTGTTGCACCAGAAACAAATATCAAATGAGTTTCTACGCACATCCAGAGTCCTTTTTGCTCATCTTTAATCCAAATACGATCAGAAAACAAACTTCGCCGGTCTTTCTCTGTTTACTCCTCTCGAGTTTCCCGCTCTGCGTAGCTGTGTGGGGGTCAGAACGTCACATCCGGCACTGCGACGTGTATCGTTTAGGCTGCGTCCAAAACTGCATACTATCCGTACTATTCATACTACACTACTGACGGGGCTTCTGAAGGGAGTGCACTAATTTTTACATACTATTTAGAACGCTAGCATGCTGTTTCGGACGCAGCCATAGTCAACGGCTAATGTTAAAGGAATATTTAACGTTTAACGTTTTTACTCCTAAGATTTTTTTTTGGTGAAACCCTCTTATGTTTTTCCTCTTCTCTGTTTCTGAGGATCAGTGTGCCAAAATATTTAATTAAAGTCAAAAGTATGACTTTTCCAAGAAGTATTTATTTTCTCAAAATATTTAATTTTAATTAACGTACCGATTACATCAAGATTTTACTCATGCCAAAGTAATAACTGATTGTCTATAAAAAATTATGATGTATTTTCTAGAGATTTTGCACTAATGTTGTAATATTAATATATGGCTTTTTCACTCACAATTTTGGCCAATTATCACCAAAATTAAATAAATTAATATTTTTACAAAAGTCATTACTTCAAGTCATTACTACAAATGAGTAACTATTACAAGACATTTCGACATAGTATGTCAAAATATTAAATAATTGTCAAAAATAGGTTGCAATTTTGATAAGTCACTATTTTGAGATAATGTGGATGAATTTGTGTTTCAGTACATCATCAGCTACATTCCTCGTTTCTCACTCTTACGGTACATGTCCACTTCTCGCCGCATTCCCAGTGGAAATGAAGCAGGTAACAGAAGGTAGTACACCTAATAACAATTATTATTTTAAAAAATTAAGTGAATTTATTGAAAACATTATAATATTAATTCATAATTCATACCTATAACCTAAGGTAGTGATGTCACTGTGCTGTTTTTATGCTGGGGCTGTACAGCACCATTTTGAAGCTGATACAGATGCAGTTCTATCCCTGTAGAAGTCCAGGAGAGATAAAATCTGCCTCAAATCTTACTTTAGAACGGTGCTCATCACAAAAATGTAACATCAACACTGACAAAAGAACTAGTGCTTTACATGGTGTTTACACTCCGCCCACAGCTTTGTGGTAATCTTCCTGACTGTAAAAACTGTCCTATATTATTCTGCTTTAATTAAATATGTACGGTCACCTACAGCGTTAAACCCTCAACAGGAACACTGTTCAAAACTGGTCATATCTGAAAAAACAAAACACACAGACATTAAAAAGACGCCACAGTTTAAGGCTGTAATTCCAGAATTTATTCACTTGCACATCAAAACATATCAAAAACCAATTACAGAGGAAGAGGGAAGTACATTTCTACTGATCACATGTACAGAACAAACACTTACATGGCAGAATATCCTCTTATCAAAGAGTATGAATTCTATTAAAGTGTTTTTTTTAAATGCTTCATTTAGAAAACAGCATATGAGTCCTCCACTCTCTTGTTCGGCTCCAGTGAGATTGCGAGGTGAACAGACAGCCTGAATTCTGACGTTATTTACAACATCTGATGGTTTTGATTTTCTTAATTCTCGATGTGAAAACCTACTTTTATCGTTTAATTTGTATGCGTTTATAAAGTGACTCCTGCCTTGCTCACAAAGGTTTGAATGAATTGACAAAAATGACCAGCAATTTGTTATATTCATGAAAAGAGTATAAAAGGAACAGTCTTCCATTATCTGGAAACCATGCTGACACACATGAAGAAAAAAAAATAAAATACCGCACACGTCACGCTTCTTTTTCAAAATTCAAATGGCCTCATTATTTTAAATCACTTTCATATCCGGCTTTTGTGTTCTAAAATAATTATTCTTCACTTTTCTGGAACATTCAATGGAGCTTTTTTAAAAAAAATCTTTACTAAAATAAAAGATGCACATCCAAAGATGAATAAACAGGTCCTCTAGTCTTCACAGACTGACCTCTTTCCTATCTTTGATCTATACAATGTCAGTTATACCATGTCTCAGACTTTAATTTGCCCCCTTCATCAATCTGTTACCACTATATACAGCACTGTAATGTGAAGAGGAAGAAATTGCGAAGAAAAGACCAACAAAGATCAACAGCAGCCTACAATGCTGTAGAGTAAGGGTGGGTGATATGACAACATATCATCATCACAATACATCACAATATGCTTTTCAGAGTACATTATATGTCCAAAAATAATCACTAATTAGCAAAATCAGCTACCTTAAAGTGCCTACACTGATGACATGGGTGTTCAGGTGCACACTGACCAATAGAATGAGAGCAGCCACACAGGAGGTCAAACACTGCCTGGAGGTGTATAAGGTCCCCCAGCCTTGAGCTGTGGAACAGTGGAACTGCGTTCTCTGGAGTGATGAATCTCCATTCAATACGTTTGGGATGAGCTGGAGCGATCAAGAACTAATGCTCAATCAAATTCTCACAGCAATGTTCCACCATCTAGTGAAAAGCCTTCTCAGAAGAGTAGAGGCTGTTACTGCAACAAAAGTAGGATAAACTCCATATTAACACCCCAGATTTCAGAAGAAAGCTGGAGGAACGGGTGTCTACAAACTTTTGCACATATAGTTTAACATCGAACAGCTGCATATTTCATTAAAGAGATTTAGTAGAGGCTCCCTCGTGGCGTAGCTCTATTTCCGCAGTTTCTTTTTTTAAAGCTGCACTTTGTACGTTTTAGGGATTTGGAGCCCTCTCTGGTGGAAATGTGTAATTGGATGCATCATGTGAAAGAACAGTTTATGTGGGTTGTTCTTTAACCCCTTCCCCAAGTGGATGAATCTGATTGCGAGTGCATTAACAGAGCATTCAAAGAGAACTCAGTCTAAACTCGGTGAGGGACGTGTCTTCTGAGGATGTGAGTGAATGATCTACTATTGTCATCATATCTTCATCAGCATAATGCTGATTTTGCATTTGAGGCCTAAACATCAAGACCTTCTTTTTAAGCCTGTGCATGTGATGTTAGTATGTAAGGACATATGATGTGGTCTGAAAAACTCCGACCTGACCTCTGACTTTTAAATGATTTTAGGGATTACAGGATGACTGGCAGCAGCGCGCACACAGACACACACACACACACACACACACCATATTTTAGTCCTATTTTTCTCCCAAATCAGTAACGTTACTTCGTTTAATTCTAACAAAAATACATTCTTACATATTTGAATTTCCAATACATAATTTTTCAGGACCTAAAGAAAATAAGTAGGATAACATAACTGCAGTAAATGCCACTTTCTAAGATGATTTTTTGTTCTAAATCCATGAGTGAGAACTTGAGAGTCACGATAAGATTCATGACAGCTTCTAAAAAATGTACATAGGCTTATTTTTTACATATTTTTGACATTCTATGTTGGAGAAAGTCTGCTGCCTGAAACAGACAGCTCAGTTACCTCAAACAGGAACCTGTTATTGTTAAAAGTAGCTAGTCATTTTCTTTAGAGCAGCTGAGCTGCTAAAGAGCTGTCAGATGTCTGTAAATATTTCCAAATTTTTTTATTAAATACCTTATTAAAGCCAAAATAGAGCGTTGTTGTTTTGTTTATTTACACCTAAAACATAAAGCAAATCATTCGAATGGACATGTAAATTTTTTTCAATAAATAATATGAAATTCATATTCTTAATTTTATGTGGACAGCCTTAAAGGGAATTGTTTGAAAATGTTCAACACCGCTACCAATATTGATACCGACTCCTGAACATCTTTTAAATTACAAACAAAAAGTGGGTGTGGCTTAAACCAGAAATGAAAAAGGTGCTGCATGTGGTGTGCATTTATGGACCACAATGGATTAAAGACTAATCAAGAACCTCTGACGTTAATCACATACATACAGAATGTCATTCAGACAATCAGAAGTCTAGATATTGGAACAAGTACTGCTTATAGAGTCAATGATACTGATAAGACAGACCATCTAGATATTGAAATTTAGAACTGAATAACAATTGTCTGATACTCTGTACCAAAAAAGTACTGAATTTCTGGACCAAATTGTGATGTTATGTTTTTGCCATATTGCCCACCCCTACTGTAGAAGAAAATGGACTATGGGAAGAGCAGTACTATGACCTACGGAAGCAGATTATTATAATCTAACTACAGATGAAGAAAAAAAAAAAAAATTCACAGCAAACCAGGAAAGAACAGCATCACTGCACACCACACTACCCTCCTACTGACTCGCACTGGCTTCAACAAGTACACGCTCAGACAGCCAAAACAAAACTCAACTATGAAATGCAAGATTTAGAGAGTAAGAGAACTTCATCAGTGAAGTTTCAGATAAGACTTCAGGTGTGGTATCTAAACACACTGTGGTAGAGGATTAAGGCTACAGGGAGCAGATCTTAATCCATGGTCAGCATCACTAATAAAGAAAAAAGTAAACTTATACATGGTAGTCACTTCTAACCGATCGCAGCAATTCAAACGTAATATAATACATATGCATGTAATATACACTAATATCCATTAAAATATCAGGATAGTTTACAGCAGTTCCTGCTAAAAGAAGAAAAAAAAAAAAACAACTCAAATTACATCAAATCATTGCATTTTCAATGTTGCAAATTAAAATAAACTAGCTAAGCTCTTGGAGCATTTGAGCTCAGCTTAACAAAAAAAGTCATAACAATAGAAGTGAAAAAGAATCATCAGCAATCCGTTTTCAAACAGCACTGAGTTGGAGATGAAAATTTAAAGTGATCTATTTTAGGAATAGGCTGCTTTTTTGGGAGGGGGGGCTGCAGACATGCACAGCAGCTTTGACAAATACAAGCAGGTGGCAAAATAAAGGAAAGCCAAAGCAGAAAGCTGGACCACCACAAGCTACCAAAACAGCTTCATTGTGCCTTAGCATAGATCAGGGGTTGGCAACCCAAATGCTGACAAGAGCTATTTAGTCCTGTCAACAAAACTCAAACCACCTTGGGAGTCACAACATTTTATGTCCATTTTACCATTATGGCTGTAAATATGTCTCAGTATGTGCTAATGTGGTAAAACAGGCTATAAAAATATAATATAAACAAAAACGCTGACTTTGCTCTGCTTGAAGCTTAGCTCAGTTATTGCTGCTTTTTCTTGCATCTCCAGCAGGAAACTTTTCCTCAAAAGTAGAACAGTTTCT